ATAGATACTGAGCCAATAAATAATTTTTCCAATCTTAATGCCATGATTGAACTTTTAGCTTTTCATATGACATCAAATAGAAATTCCAATGAGATAAATTTTCTCTTATATGACATACAGATAAATAAAATATTTCCTACATGCTTACATGAACGTGAGATGCAATCACAAGTTCAATCTTATGCTTCTAGTTGAGCAGAAGCACTAAAATAGGTATGTCCCATTATAAGATGAAATTATTTCAATAATAATTGATAAGAGGAATTTTTTTCAGCTAACAACCGATGTAGCGGTCAAAACAGGGACCGCCTCCATTCATGGACACTAGCAAAGAAACCAAGAAAGATCCACCTCTGAACCACTAGAACACACAACAGAACACCCCGTGCGCTTACATCCAGTGCCCACACTTTTCTCCTTCCATCCTTCCTCTCGAACCAAGAACCCTCGCTCGCCCACTTGCCACCCTCGGTTAGGGCTTGACCAAACTGGACACCGTTATCACCAGCGTCACCTTAGCCCGTTACACCGAGAACTGTTGGTATATTCTTTTATTGTTCTAGATTACATCTAGAATATACTTGAATTTCTAAGAATATTCTTAAGGTACAAAGCATTAACATTCATTCATTTATATAGTGCATAGAAGTATTTTCTCGCAGACATCATGGTTTCGTGCAGTTTCTTTCACGTCCACCATGGCCCGATTCCATCAGGTATGTAGTAGTATGACGAGGTAGCCATGTCGTACTCGTTGACATTGGCGTTGATGCTATTACTATTGTTGGTGTTGATGTTGTTGTTGTTGTTGTTGTTGTTGTTGTTGATACTGATGCTGGTGTTGTTGTAATCTAGCAAACCATCGTCAAACTTATAAAGCACCAGCTGGTTTGAGTGTGGATCGAAAACCATGCCGTCGGGTTCGTCTTTGAGGACTTTGGCCACCGCCACGCCCGTGTGCTCGAACGAGAGCACGCTCTCCTGGACCACGGGAACCAGCGGGAAGTCCACGTCCAAGATCTCGCTTGTATAGCCATCCGAGCACGGGGAGCCTTCTTTCTCACCACCTTTGCCCGGCGGCCTTGCGACGTCCATGTCCTCCACCACCGCCAGGTTCTTCCCCGTCGTCACCATCACCGTGGCTTCCTGGCCCTTGAAAGCCTCCGGTTTGTGCTCCACGCTATTTACAATCGCCTCGTCGCCGTTGGCCGCTGCTGCTGTGGGCGACTTGCTAGAGTCCAGCCTCGCAGCGAGGGCGGTCACCTGGCATAGAAAATGGTCAGAGAAGCTCTGTAAAGCTCGTTTCTCTCTCTCGGAAAATGTCGAGAACTTTACTCGAAAACTCTCTACACTTTTCGACGAAGGACTTCGCAAACGGAAACAGAGCTTACCTCGGCTTGAAGCTTCTTGTTCTCTAGCAGAAGTTTGTCGTAGCTCGCCTTGAGGGACTCGTAATCTCGCTCCAGCTGCTTGGTTTTCCAGCGGGCTCGCCGGTTCTGGAACCACACGGCGACTTGGCGGGGCTGGAGCCCCAGCTCGTGTGCCAGCTGCTTCTTCCTCTCGGGCTCCAGCTTGTTCTCCATCTCAAAGTTGAGCTCCAGGGAGCGCACTTGATCCACGCTCAGCCGCCGCTTCTTCTCCACTGGGTGAACTTCGTGATCGCTCGCCTCCACGTCTCCGCTCTCCTGATCGCTCGAGCCCTCGAAGGTTGCGTAGAGCAGCGCGTCACTACCGCGCAGCCCTGTGGGTGTTCCACAGTTGTTATGATCATCTAAGCCTGTAGAAAAGAACAAGAAAAAACGCAATTTGTTTATTCGATCGAGTATTGCAAACCTTTAAACATACCTGGTGGGATGTTAGACGACCGCGGATAAAAGATGGCGGACATTGAGTTGCTAACGCTCTCGTTCCTCATTGTCGTCACCATGATGCTTGGTGGTGTTGGCGCTGTCGAGCCTTTACTGTTGCTGCTGCTACTGTTGTTGATATTCCAATCCATAGCCAAACTTTCCACCACCACCACTGCACCACAGGGTTCTAACAGTAAACACTATTCTCCTTCACAAGAGCTGCATGGTCATGCGAGAGAGATTTCTAGATGCAAACAAGCTTCTCTTCCTAGAGCAAACTTCCTGCCGCTATGATATCAATGCAGAGCTCTTAGCTACCGTCAAGAAGAAGTGCGAGAGATCACCGCCGTATTGTAGAGCGAGGAATACCATACACTCACGTCGCCGCCGTGTCCAGCCCACAAAAAACTGATGCTACTGTACTCGACCCAGATCTTGCTCTTCTCCATGATTTCGGGAGTATTTACTGAAAGTGGTGGTGAGCTGCTGCTGCTGGCTTGCTCTTGTTGCTAGCACCTATTCTTCGTCTTCGCCTCCTGCGTCTTCTTCTAAAACAATTCGACCGCGGACTCTTGGACAGCAATCCTAACATGAGAGATTGGTGTGCAAAGCGAGACAGGGACGATTGACGTATACGGGCCGTAAGAACAAAGGAAGAATAAAGGCAAAAGTCTGGAGACCGACTTGCTAGCTCGGGGGGAAGTACCTCACGAAGCAGCAGAGGAGGCGAGCAATGTCCTCGACAACGAAGAAACGAACAGCAGGCACCCTCAGACGCCTCGGTTCGTCTTGTTTGTGTGCGAGCAGCATTATAGATCGGGAAAACGCTCCACGACTCTCTTGACACAAGCAAAGCCAAAATGGTGTTTAGAGGGAGCACGAAGGACCACTAGCGGTGATTATTCGGACACTGCCACTGCCGGGTTCCAAGCCATGAGAAATCTGGAGAGTGGAACACGCAAAGAAAGAAGAACAGAGACAACAACCAGAGTTGTACACGCTCGCTCTTCGCGGACAAAGATTTGTGCTACTCAAGAAGCCCCTCCAGATGATGCTAATTGCATGATCAGCTGCTACCTAGAACCCGAAGAACAGGGTCAAACAATTTATAGCGATTGGAAAGAAAAAAAGAAAGAAAAAAAACCAAGAACAAAGAGATGTGGATGGACCTAACTTTAACACTAGGCTTCAGCCAAACAAGCCACCACAGCAAAGGACGATCTCGAATCGACAACGACAAAGTTTGGAGGGAAACGGAGAGCGATATATCACTCTCAAGCGCACCACACTCAGCAAACCGTGATAACTGACCACCACGCACGGCCACTCCCCAAAATCCAAGACCTCTCTCTCCTAGTAGAGAAACTTAGTGAGACACGCCGAAGAGAGAATTGGGCTCTGATCTTGCTTGCCTTGTGAAGAAGCCGTGTGTATGTGAGAGAGAGTGAGAGAGTGAGAGAGTGAGAGTGAGTGCGCTAATCTTCCGCCCCTCTTCCACAAGCCCTCGTCCACTCCTTTTTATTATGGACAAGGCATAGAAAATGGGCACAGCTCCATTGGATAATGGATTTGCAGTCCGAAAGAGCTTAGATGTAAAAAACACCACCAACTTGGGAGAAGAGATAGACCCAGTCAACAGTAGTATTTCTTTAAAAAATTTACATGAAAAGAAAAAACGAAAGGAAAGACATCGCAAGATGCCTCCCCAATATTGCACTGCATTGCTCGCTCTCATTATCAGCTTACAAGTTCCTTATCATCGTATAGCTTGATAGCGGTTTCTCTCTCTCCATCTTTTTTTTGTTCTCCTCTCTCTTCGAGGGTCTCTTGCGTGTTTGTGCGTGTTTCAAGCAGTGCAAGAAATATCTTTTCGAGTGTGGTAAAATGGAAAGGGAAAAGAGGGAAAAGACCACCCAAGAACAATGGAGAATTAAAAAGGTGGCGGAGTGTGTGAGTGAGTGAGAGCCCACCGCAAGAGCCAGGTCTCCAGCAGCAGTACAAAAGCTGTTTTGTCTCATGGTGCTACACGACGGGAACAAATGTGTCCTTGGTTCTAGCTTTATGGTGCGCCCCCCATCAGCAATCTTTTGCCCAGCCTCATCCCATCCACCAAGCAAACAACCAAGCCTGCGCTTGTCGCCAAGCGTTTATAGCTGTTCCACTCTTTTTCTCCCACACACAGGAAAACCATTTAGTATCACTGCTTAGATGATGTTGATCTCTCGGGAACAAACACCGCAAGAACTTACGGGATCGGCATCCAGATTATCCCCAACTTTACTGCTTTCCACGCATGCTGGAGTGTGGAAGAACAACACATCGATCGAGTGGATCGATCGGGATCATCCCGGGTTTTGGGCTGGCCGTGGGGAACAGCACTGTACTATGATATGAGACGCTTACAAGTGTGGATGGATGTCGTGATCATCTTCCAGTGGAGACAAGCCAGCGTCTGGCCAAGTTAGCTCGGGGGTCACTGTCTTTGCAACTCAAGTTTCTCAGTCCAAGGAAAGAGGTGTTTCATTCGTACTGTAGTGCTGTAAGCTCTAGCAGGAGTTTGGAAGTGTGTGTGTACAGTGAGGTGGAAAAAGGGGACGATATCGTCGTCCGGTGGGATTTATGCGGGTCGCTGTTGCAAGTGTTAGAAGCTGCCAAGTTTTGGAAATCTATGTCTAGTCTGGACTCTTCTGGCCTGTATGCACGGGTGGATTTTTTCCAAGGAACAAAAGCTGTTTCAGCGATGTGTGTGGACTCGGGGAGCTCCAGCTTTTGCTTGCTTGCTACGATTTGGCATGTCGTGGATTGGATGGAGTCCTGGACTTCCAGCAGAATGCGGCCACGCAGATCGAGATTATTTGTTTTCTTTGCTCATGGGCTGTAATAAGAATCGAGTTCTTTTCGTTGCCCCGTTGGTTTCTGCTGGTTATGTCTCGATTTAGGGTGACAAGCTTGTGATTAAACGGAGGTGACGACCATCGTTTCTCGATCTTTCGTTGTTGGTTGTTTATTGACCACGTCGTACTAGTTCCCATTGGAGACTCCCTCCAAGTTTTCTTTAGTCTTGTGCTTTGGGAACATTTTTTGCATTCATTGCCAGGAGCCAAGTTGCGGGAAGAGAAAAACTGTATCATTGAAAAGCATATATTGGCACACGATATAATTTTCAAATGCCACGGTCCATTAGCAAAAGAAGTAAAGCCTCCCCCACCCCGCCATTTCGAGTAAAAAAGAAAGTGAGGTTCTTATTCTTCTCGAGGCTTTTGCTGTAATCTCTCACTCACTGCTCACAGGGAAATTGCATCGCATCGTACCCATCAAGCTCCAACGCACACACACACACAAACACACACTATCTCCCAAGTGAACAAAATCTCTGCCTGGAGAGGAAAAAGATCAACCCTCTCGTGCCGAAACTCGAGCTCACAACTTTTCTTTTTCATGATCAAAAGTTTGCTCCCCTAGTTTCTATATAGATCTCTTTTGAACTGTGTATCGTCTTCATCCTGGAGACGATAAAACAAAGATGATTCTCTCATCCCTCGGATAGTTTTCTCGGTTTCTCTTTTTCTAAGCGGGCTGTTTTTTCTAGTGCCGCACACAGCCGTGCGTCACCCCATTATCATAAAAGCCTCACTCACCTGTGGGTTTCTCTTTTGTTTTCTTTCCCGACCCAGCAGAAGCCGAGAGATAAAGGTGGCGAGAAAAAAAAGGAGAAATTTCTGGTCAGTGGTGTTGGTGTGGTGGTGGCCCCGTTTTTCGTCTCGCCTGGTGTGTCAGTGCATGCACATTGAGCTTGCTTGTGATGATCCGCTCCTTGGGCTTGCTTGCACGAACATCCCCAACATTATAAAAGTATAGTGTCAAGTTTCTCCTGTGTTTTGCAAGGATCACGTTTGATCTTAAAATGTTGCAAAGTCTGATCGTAACATAGATTACTACTTTGTTGTTTGTGGTGTCGAAGCATCGATCCTTCGGCACTATGTCTTTAGAATGGTAGTTCTTGGTCATTGTCTTGAAACAACAAGCCAATGCATTATAATATTCAAGATAACGAGCGATGTTGGATCATGGAACCAAACGCTGGCTTAGCGGAAGCCATGTCTATATGCTTTGTAAATGCGAGCGGGGAATATCCAAATTGATAGATGTTGCTTCTTCTCCGCCCAAACGTTGCAATCATATATTCCTCAAGCAGGCACTCGGAATCACTGCCAAATCTTAGCAATGAAGAAGATTGGTGATACCATTTTAAATGGGTAGAGCATATGATGCTCTATCTCGACAAGGTCACGTTGAGGCATCTCACCCGTGTCCAAGACTGCTCCGCCACCTTTTTAAATTTGTTCCACGTTAAAGCCGGTTATAAGACTATGATCTTGTGCATATGATTAACAGAAATCTCCCCACGGCCCCACAATCTGGGGGAGGCATCTAAAGGAGATGCCTTTGTTCTCGCACTGAAGGGACTCCTGTATATTCCACGATAATGACCACACTCACACTGTTTTATTCGTCTCGTCGACTCTTCAATGATCTTTCTCGAGAGCGGAGCAAAATAATCTCCTCTGTTCTTTCCTTTTCCACCTTTGCAATGTGGTGTTAAGTCACTGCTCCCTCTTCCACGCACCCTTGATCGAGCAAAAGCGAGTGATTTTCTCTCCTCGCAGTTTTGAGAATATGTCAACTCATTGCGCTCGATCACCGTATGGAAATATGGACCGAGTGCTCCAGGTAGCCAAATTCTTTAGCTTGTTCGTAAAATTACGACAGCACAGAGCCATAGGTGGCACGCACTCGCAACAAGCTCTTCGAGAACCCCTGCCATTGCAAAAGCTCTAGTAGCTAAAGCCTACGACTAACAGGAAAGAAAAGCTTACCACCACCGAGGAATTGCCACTGATGTTATTCCAGGGGTGGAACTTCGTCAGATTCCTCGCGTCGCATCCTTGCAAGGGGACGGTCCGGGACGTCACTACTTGGATCCTCCACTGGCTGCGAAGGAGTAGAGTTAAGAGCTGGGACTAAAGTTTACTAGGGAAACTTACCTTGCTTGGAGGTGTGATAATGTTCTCGATCTCTGAGAACTTGACGTGTGGTTTCTGCCGTACTTTTTTCTCTTTGGTAGCTTCCACAACGTATGTGTCCTTTTGATGTCGGCTCTTTACCACGGCTTTGGGCATAGTCACAACCAAATGACCTGACGTTCTCGACCGCTGTGCGATGCTCTCGGAAGTCTTAACCTGGCTTGATCGAGAGAGAGAAAGAAGTTGCGCATTGAGAGAGAGAAGTTTCTACCTCTTCCGGGAGTCGTAGCTGCAGAAGCTTGCCCTTGATCAGCACGCGCACGAGCAGCGGCTGGATATCAATGTCCATTGCGGATGTATCCATGTATCGACCAATAGCTACATCCAACACTAGCTTGGTTCCGCATTCACTCTCTGCTAGCTTGAAACTCCAGCTGTGAGTTTGAGATGGAAGAGGCCTTGAGCTAGTGAAATCCAAGGCTTACTTGCCCTCGTTCTTCTGATATATACGGCCTTCCATTGGTAATGGATCAAATCCAGTCCTGCGCTCTGGAACCTTTCTCTGATTCTGATTGTTTACCTGAAAATGCAGGAGTAATGAGATGAGAGACTTGAAATCACACTTTACCTTTCCACTATCCTTGTTCTTTTTCTGCTCAAGCTCGACATACTCCGCTACTCTTGAAGCCGGTGTATATTCACGAACGACGTGACCGTTTTCGTCCCTGTTGGTCATTTTTTAATGAAAATAAAAAGTAAAACTGCGGGGGAACAGTCCAAAGTAACTCACACATCTTCGGCAGAAGCGTCACAGTCGACTACATCGTCTTCGTTGCCAAAGACATCCTTTACGAAGGGGTATTCCTACAACTGAGAAAAATGAGATGAAGAAAACATAGCAGAAAGTACACATACTTGCTGGGATCGAATTTTTTCTGATGGTCGAACCTCGATACCATCTAAACGCTGCAACAAAACCATGAGTTTACGAAACAGGACCCCAATGTACCTTCAAGGATGGAAGAGTCGCAATAACATAGCTTCGATAACCAGGGACCTCTTGGCACGGGTTGCCAGTGAGAAACCTTCGAGCGAGACACGCCAGGTAAAAGAAGCTAATTTTCTGTTTCTTCTTGCAAAAAAGAAGTTACTCACAAGTCTCGGAGGTGAATGTTGGCCCTCAGAGCTGCAACAGAGGGGAGCTCCTTTTTCCCAACAAAGTTGAGAGTCATATCCAGCTTTTCCAGGAATTCGCATTGCTCAAGTCCTTCTACCTGTCGCACAAGCTCGCAAAAAGAAAAAAAGGAAAAGAAGAGAACCGAACCTTTAGAATGTTGTTGACAGCTACATTCAAGTATTGCAGCTGCTTTAGCCGGTGTAAATTGCCTAAAAACAAAAGTCGATCCATCGAGCGACTAAAGCCAAGGGGGAAAGCGTACTTAGCCTGGAGATGAGATTATTTGGAAGATAGAGAATCTTGAGGTTGGGACAAAACGCTCCCAGGCTTCGGTTGATGTCCATGATGCCTTCCTCTTGGAGCACAAGCTCCTGCAAGAGGAGGAGATCGTGTCGCTGGAACAGAATCCAAATCAAGGCCGTGTGTACCTCAAGGCTGTGAAGGATCCCCTCGTTGTGCTCTGCTCGTCGCTTGAGCATTTCTTCGTTGATCACTCCCATGCTCGATAAAGAACATAGAAGAGCCCTAACCCTAATCCCACAATTTAAACACGCACACTAAACCTTTTTACCCTTGCATAACATTAAAGGGCATATACAGGTTAAAGTTTTTTACTCATCCCATAGATCTTCGACTCTCTTGTATGGAGATGTGTCGTTCACCCAGTTTGTTCCTTTGATCAGCCTCTCCTGTAGAAAAAGAGAAAAGTCGGCTTGCTTTGAAAATGCGAGTGACAAACCTGTTGGATTCCAGAAAGCTTTTGGAAATCCTCGTCCGGAATACTCCATCCGAGAATGTCCAGGTTTTCCTTGAGCCGATCGGGATTGGAGCTCTTCGGAAGGACGCTGTGACCCATCTGGATTCCCCAGCGTAGTGCTACTTGCGCTGGTGATTTGCTGAGTTTGTCCGCGATCTCTTTGACGATGGGATGGCCGAGGACTTTCGGACCCCAGTTTCCCAAAGGAGAGTACCCCTGACAATAAGAATAGCATTGAGTTCCAACGGAAAACGAGATCCAATCCAGGACTTACAGAGAGATGGATGGCTTTGGAGGTGCAGTAGTCGTGAAGAGCCTTTTGCTGCCACACCGGATGACACTCAACTTGGTTCACGGCAGGGACGATGGTGGCGTTCGCCAAAAGGTGGTCGATCTTCTTTGACGAGAAGTTGCTCACACCGATTGCACGAACTCGGCCGGTGCGCACAAGCTGCTCCATTTGCTTCCAGGTCTCGTCCAGTTGCAAGGGGACGATTTCAGTTTTGCGAGTGCCATCTTCCTGTTGGTAGTGTTCCTTCACACGAACAGGCCAATGAATCTACACACAAGCATGTCCTCTTGTCACAGACAGAAACAAAGAATCTGGATATCTTACCAAATAAAGGTCAAGATAGTCCAGCTGCAAATCCTGCAGTGTTTGATCGCAAGCCTCCTGGACCCGATCGTGATCAGAGTTCCTGAAAAGAAAGAAAAAAATCTATTTAGAGGACAAATAAAACGTTTCCAAAGAAAGCGAGAGAACCTGACCACAGCTTGGACGTAATCCACAAATCCCCACGCGTCACTGCACCACTAAGGAAGATCTCTTGCAGCGCCAATCCAATCTACACATGCATGAACGAAGCGAGTAAGAAAAGAGAAGAGGGAAGAACTCTTAAGTTGTAGAGACATCTTTCTCGTTGCCATAGACGCTCGCGCAATCGATGTGACGATACCCAGCCTGGGAAGAAGAGCAAACAGTGAGCTAGCTAGTGCTACGAAGAGAAAAAGAAGGAAATTTGATGCTTACAGCGACAGCGGCCTTCACTGTTGCTCCCGCTCGCCCCTTCTCCTCCTGCGAGTATCCCGGCCACATTCCCAGCCCGATCGCGGGTATGAGCGCCCCGGTGTGGAGCTGGAAATGCGCCATCGATCCGCCATCACCAGCGCCATCGCCCATCCCAACCTAAAATTTCTCGAGGGGTTTTAGTTGAAGTTTCACTGCTCATGGGTTCTTGAGGCGCAATGTAGGTGGTGGGAGAATGGCGCTTCTCTTTGCGCTCAATGGGCGAAAGATCGAGCTCAGCGATGTCGATCCCAGCATGACGCTGCTGGAATTTCTAAGATGCCACACCGATCTCAAGGGCACCAAGCTCGGATGTGGAGAAGGTAAGTAAAAAACTAGTTTTTTTTTACAAGAACTTAGGCCTAGATGGATCGATCTGTTAGCTTTCTTCTTTTTCTTCCTTGCTGACGATCGGATCAAACATCCAGGGGGGTGTGGAGCTTGCGTGGTGGTGGCTTCCCGCTACGATGCCTCCACAGACAGCGTGGAGGACGTTAGCATAAACTCTTGCCTGGCTTTGCTGGGCTCTCTTCATCTCCGTGCCGTGACGACGATCGAGGGCCTGGGAAGCTCCAAAAACTCGGCTCCACGCTGTCCAGCGAAGGTTTCTGGGATTTCACGCGTCCCAGTGTGGTTTTGCACGCCTGGTATGTGCATGTCGCTCTATGGAGGCCTCAAGAACCAGCAAAGAAGGGTCTCTGTGGATGGTGGAAAGTATGAAAGTGGTGCTCTAGAGCAGTCGATCCAGGGGAGTTTATGCCGCTGCACGGGATACAGGCCCATAGTTGACGTGTGCAAGAGCTTTGGAAGCAGTGTAGACGTTGAAGATCTCGGCCTGAACATCTTCTGGAAGGACAGGAAGGATGGTCGAATGGAGCTTTTGCCGTGCTATGATCCGGGTGACGATCCAAAGTTCCCAGAGTTTCTCAAGCAGGAGATCATTCAAAGGCAATCCGCTATAGATTCTACTGGCACTTCTGCTATGATCGAGCACGAGAAGTGGATTTGCGCTACGAGCTCTGGACATGCTTTTGGACTGCTCAAACACTTCCAAACGCGTTCCAAGACGAGCAAGGAGGTGAAGATCGTGGTGGGAAACACCAGCGCTGGAGTGTACAGGGACTGGGATCATAGCGTCTTCATCGATATCAGCAGGATTCCGGAGCTCCATGTCGTAGAAGCAAGGAGCGACGGCATTGAGTTCGGTGCTGCAGTGAGCATCGCAAAGCTCATCGACTTTCTCGACGAAAACTTTAAGAAAGCTGGCAGTGGTATTGCGAAACACTTGAGAAAGGTTGCTTCTCCACACGTTAGAAACGCGGGGAGTGTTGGTGGCAACTTGATCATGGCTCAGAAATTTGGCTTCGATTCGGACATCGCGACGGTGTTTCTGGGATTCGGTGCTACGTTGAAGCTGCTGGTTTCTCCGGATAAGCAAGTAATCCAGAGCATGGAAGAGTTTTTAGAAGGTGGTGGCGGAGTGGATGATTATCCAAGCTCGTTGCTGACAATGATCTTCTTACCACTAAGATCACATGAAGCGGCCGAGTTTAAGACGTACCGAGCATCACCGAGACTGTGAAGGATCCCCTCGTTGTGCTCTGCTCGTCGCTTGAGCATTTCTTCGTTGATCACTCCCATGCTCGATAAAGAACATAGAAGAGCCCTAACCCTAATCCCACAATTTAAACACGTATACTAAACCTTTTTACCCTTGCATAACATTAAAGGGCATATACAGGTTAAAGTTTTTTACTCGTCCCATAGATCTTCGACTCTCTTGTATGGAGATGTGTCGTTCACCCACATTGTTCCTTTGATCAGCCTCTCCTGTAGAAAAAGAGAAAAGTCGGCTTGCTTTGAAAATGCGAGTGACAAACCTGTTGGATTCCAGAAAGCTTTTGGAAATCCTCGTCCGGAATGCTCCATCCGAAAATGTCCAGGTTTTCCTTGAGCCGATCGGGATTGGAGCTCTTCGGAAGGACGCTGTGACCCATCTGGATTCCCCAGCGTAGTGCTACTTGCGCTGGTGATTTGCTGAGTTTGTCCGCGATCTCTCTGACGATGGGATGGCCGAGGACTTTCGGACCCCAGTTTCCCAAAGGAGAGTACCCCTGACAATAAGAATAGCATTGAGTTCCAACGGAAAACGAGATCCAATCCAGGACTTACAGAGAGATGGATGGCTTTGGAGGTGCAGTAGTCGTGAAGAGCCTTTTGCTGCCACACCGGATGACACTCAACTTGGTTCACGGCAGGAACGATGGTGGCGTTCGCCAAAAGGTGGTCGATCTTCTTTGACGAGAAGTTGCTCACACCGATTGCACGAACTCGGCCAGTGCGCACAAGCTGCTCCATTTTCTTCCAGGTCTCGTCCAGTTGCAAGGGGACGATTTCAGTTTTGCGAGTGCCATCTTCCTGTTGGTAGTGTTCCTTCACACGAACAGGCCAATGAATCTACACACAAGCATGTCCTCTTGTCACAGACAGAAACAAAGAATCCGGATATCTTACCAAATAAAGGTCAAGATAGTCCAGCTGCAAATCCTGCAGTGTTTGATCGCAAGCCTCTTGGACACGATCGTGATCAGGGTTCCTGAGAAGATAGAAAAAATCTATTTAGAGGACAAAAAAAAAAAAACGTTTCCAAAAACCACAGCTTGGACGTAATCCACAAATCCCCACGCGTCACTGCACCACTAAGGAAGATCTCTTGCAGCGCCAATCCAATCTACACATGCATGAACGAAGCGAGTAAGAAAAGAGAAGAGGGAAGAACTCTTAAGTTGTAGAGACATCTTTCTCGTTGCCATAGACGCTCGCGCTATCGAAGTGACGATACCCAGCCTGGGAAGAAGAGCAAACAGTGAGCTAGATAGTGCTACGAAGAGAAAAGAAAGAAATTTGATGCTTACAGCGACAGCGGCCTTCACTGTTGCTCCCGTTTGCCTCTTCTCCTCCTGCGAGTATCCCGGCCACATTCCCAGCCCGATCACGGGCATGCGCCCGCCGGTGTGGAGCTGGACATGCGCCATCGATCCGCCATCTCCAGCGCCATCGTCGCCATGGCCCATCCCTCCCAACCTAAAATTTCTCGAGGGGTTTTAGTTGAAGTTCCACTGCTCACGGGTTCTTGAGGCGCCATGTAGGTGGTGGGAGAATGGCGCTTCTCTTTGCGCTCAATGGGCGAAAGATCGAGCTCAGCGATGTCGATCCCAGCATGACGCTGCTGGAATTTCTAAGATGCCACACCGATCTCAAGGGCACCAAGCTCGGATGTGGAGAAGGTAAGTAAAAAACTAGTTTTTTTTACAAGAACTTAGATCGATCGATCTGGTAGCTCTCTTTTTTTTCTTTCTCGCTGACGATATGATCAAACATCCAGGGGGGTGTGGAGCTTGCGTGGTGGTGGCTTCCCGCTACGATGCCTCCACAGACAGCGTGGAGGAAGTTAGCATAAACTCTTGCCTGGCTTTGCTGGGCTCTCTTCATCTCCGCGCCGTGACGACGATCGAGGGCCTGGGGAGCTCCAAAACTCGGCTCCACGCTGTCCAGCGAAGGTTTCTGGGATTTCACGCGTCCCAGTGTGGGTTTTGCACGCCTGGTATGTGCATGTCGCTCTATGGAGGCCTCAAGAACCAGCAAAGAAGGGTCTCTGTGGATGGTGGAAAGTATGAAAGTGGTGCTCTAGAGCAGTCGATCCAGGGGAGTTTATGCCGCTGCACGGGATACAGGCCCATAGTTGACGTGTGCAAGAGCTTTGGAAGCAGTGTAGACGTTGAAGATCTCGGCCTGAACATCTTCTGGAAGGACAGGAAGGATGGTCGATTGGAGCTTTTGCCGTGCTATGATCCGGGTGACGATCCAAAGTTCCCGGAGTTTCTCAAGCAGGAGATCATTCAAAGGCAATCCGCTAACGTTGTCCAAGATTCTAATGGCACTTCTGCTATGATCGAGCACGAAAAGTGGATTTGCGCTACGAGCTTTGGACATGCTTTTGGACTGCTCAAACACTTCCAAGCGCGTTCCAAGACGAGCAAGGAGGTGAAGATCGTGGTAGGAAACACCAGTGCTGGAGTGTACAGGGACTGGGATCATAGCGTCTTCATCGATATCAGCAGGATTCCGGAGCTCCATGTCGTAGAAGCAAGGAGCGACGGCATTGAGTTCGGTGCTGCAGTGAGCATCGCAAAGCTCATCGACTTTCTCGACGAAAACTTTAAGAAAGCTGGCAGTGCTATTGCGAAACACTTGAGAAAGGTTGCTTCTCCACACGTTAGAAACGCGGGGAGTGTTGGTGGCAACTTGATCATGGCTCAGAAATTTGGCTTCGATTCGGACATCGCGACGGTGTTTCTGGGATTCGGTGCTACGTTGAAGCTGCTGGTTTCTCCTGAGAAGCAAGTAATCCAGAGCATGAAAGAGTTTTTAGAAGGTGGTGGTGGAGTGGATGCTTATCCAAGCTCGTTGCTGACAATGATCTTCTTACCACTAAGATCACATGAAGCGGCCGAGTTTAAGACGTACCGAGCATCACCGAGACCTCTGGGAAATGCAGTAGCGTATGCAAACGCTGCGTTTGTCGTTCGCTTCTCTAAACTTTCGTCGGGCTCTTCTCTCTACAAAGTTGAGAGTTCGAGGCTTGCATTCGGAGCCATTGGTGACAAGCACGCCATTCGTGCTATCCAAGTCGAAGAGTTTCTGAAAGGGAAGATTATCACGGCGGAAGTGCTGTTGGAAGCAATCCAGATGCTCAAGTCGCTGCTGACTCTAGAAACAAACTCAAGGAGGAAATCGGCCTACCGAGCGGCTCTTGCTGTGAGTTTCTTCTTCAAGTTCTTCAAACGAAAACTTGGACAAGGTGGCCACCACAAACAATCGATCGCTCGAGATGGTTCTGTTTGCCAGCAAAGCTTGATTCGAGGCTGCCAGGAACTTCATCAGCGAGACAAGAGACGCGCGCTTGGCCAGCCTTCCGAGAAAACCATGGGAAACTTGCAAGTATCAGGTGACTTCTTCCTCTCGTTTTTGTGTTTTCTTAACTTTTCCAGTTTGTTCCTCCCAGGGGAAGCTGTTTACGTTGATGACATTGCTTCTCCATGCAACACTCTCCACGCAGCATTTGTTTGCAGCCAGAAAGCTTACGCGAAGATCAAAGATATCAGCGTGTCTGCCGCAATGGCGTCTCCCGGTGCCGTCTCGTTCATGAGCGTCAAAGACATACCATCAGGTGGAGGAAACGTTGGAATCAAGTCGGACCTCGCCAATGAAATACTGTTTGCCGAGGAGATTGTTGAGTGCGTGGGACAGGCAATAGGAATCATGGTAAGATATTTCACCAGATATCTCATCGGGAAAGCTAAGTTTTTCTTCTTTAAGATTGCCGACACGCCTGCGAATGCGAGAAGAGCTGCGAAACGAGTCCAAGTGACTTACGACACTGAATCGCTGGGAGAGCCGCCAATTCTCACAATCGAAGACGCTGTGGCGAGAGGATCCTTCTTCCAAATCCCAGCGTGGTTCGAAAGCACACTGCAAAAGCAGCACGGTGACATATCCGAAGGCCTCGCAAGGGCCGATCATATCATCAAAGACGCGGAGGTACGTAAAACTTTCTTCGTAGAGACACAAGGTCCAATTTTTTGGAGAACCTTGTAGGTGAGGATGTCCAGCCAGTACTACTTTTACATGGAAACCAACACAGCCTTGGTCGTCCCAGAGGAAGACAATTGCCTGACAGTGTTCAGCGCTTGCCAAGCTCCGGAGCACGTCCAAGCGAGCGTCGCAACCTGCGTTGGAATTCCCATGCACAACGTAAGAGTCATCACCAAAAGAGTTGGAGGAGCTTTCGGGGGCAAAGCTTCAAAAGCTTGTCTGGTAAGCAGTTTTTCCGTGATACCATCGTCCGAAACATCACCTTGTTTCCGATATGTCTACAGGTGGCCGCTGCCTGTGCTCTCGCGGCGTTTAATCTCCAGCGCCCCGTTCGTCTGTGCCTGGATCGAAGAACCGATATGGTGATGATGGGAGGGCGAGAGCCTTGCAAGGCCGTCTACACAGCCGGCTTCACTTCCGACGGGAATGTCACAGCTCTCCAAGCAAAGCTCTTCATCCAAGCCGGCTGGTCCATGGACATGTCGTGGCTTTTCACGGGAAACATGCTCCACGCGCTCAAGAAGTTCAACTGGGGAGTTCTCGACGCCGAGTTCATCATCTGCAAGACGAACATTCCCAGCCGGAGCGCCATGCGAGCGCCCGGAGATGGCCAGGGATCGTTCGTGGCGGACACCATCATCCAGCACGTCGCCACCGAGCTCGGCCTCGACTTCCACATCGTCATGGAACGAAACCTCCACTCCCTCCACACGGCGGAGGCCTTCTACGGGCGGGACTTCGTAGGTGGCGGCGAAGGATTCACGCTCCCGACGGTGCTCCGCAGGCTGAAAGATCGAGCAAGCTTCGAGAGCCGGCTCGAGCTCACGAAAGGATTCAACTCCGCCAACTTGTGGAAGAAACGGGGGCTGGATCTCGTCCAGGGAACTTACTTGGTGTTCCTGGTCCCCAAGCCGGCGAGAGCGAGCGTGTTCCTGGATGGATCCGTGGTGGTGGAGGTGGGGGGAGTGGAGCTCGGCCAGGGACTGTGGACGAAAGTCCGGCAGGCAGCGGCATTTGCACTGAGCGAGCTGTTTGGCGACGAGGAACAGGGAGTTCCAGTCTCCAAGATCCGTGTCGTGCAAACGGACTCTATCAGTATGCCCAACGGGAGCTGGACTGCCGGGAGCACTGCGTCTGAGTCCAGCTGCGAGGCCGCGAGGATGTGTTGCGAGGCGCTGGTGGAGAGACTAAAACCCGTGAAGGCGAGCTTGCAAGGGAGTGAAGGAGTTTCCTGGGAATCCATCGTGGCAGCTGTAAGTTCCTTCTTTCTCGATCGTTTTGTTTCGACTATTCTAAGTCGTTCTTCTCTTCGAACAGGCAAAGATGGCGAATGTAAATCTGTCAGCACAAGAGCTGTATGTGGCTGCCCCGGAGGCTGCGGCCTATGTTACGTTTGGAGCTGCTGCGAGCGAGGTATGGAAGTGAGATCCATTGCTCAGATCTTCGTCCAAACGTGAGAGATTTCTCGCCATGAAACCATCAGGTGGAAGTCGATGTTCTAACGGGAGAGGTGGAGATCTTGAGGACGGATATGGTGTACGACTGCGGCAAGAGCATGAATCCAGCAGTAGACATCGGACAAGTAAGCTTCGATCGCCAAAGCTTCCATTCTTCGTGGTAGAAACCGGCAATGAGCACAGATCGAAGGAGCTTTCGCGCAAGGCCTCGGGTATTTTGTGAGCGAGGAGTGTGTCATGGACGAGCAAGGCCGGCTCTTGACGGATGGAACTTGGACGTACAAGCCCCCGACCGCGGATAATCTCCCCAAGATCCTCAACATCGAGCTCCTCAACAGTCCCGTCCACGAGAAGAGGATACTCTCCTCCAAGAGTAAGAAGTTCTATCTCGGTGCTTTGCCTTGACTGACAGCGGCATTTCTTCTCTGTCCAGCGGCGGGAGAGCCACCGTTTCTTCTGGCGGGATCCGTTCACGCGGCGATCCGGCACGCCGTTATGTCCGCCCGGATGGACGCTGGAAAGAAGGAGTTCTTCCAAATGGATGCCCCCGCGAGCATCGATCGGGTGAGAGCTTGGTGTGGCCTGGACAACGTCGAGGACTACTTGGTTGCAAGACCATCGAGTGCCCAGTAGCTGCCCTGCGATGATCTTTCTTTAGACAGGGAAAGTCGAGGAGTCTAGAGCTTGCTTTGATGCCATGCCGGCTAGTGACGTAGTTACGTAGAACGCTACGTTTTGCAGCTTATGCCCAAAAAGGGGCATCTTCTAAAGGTGGTAGAGGTGTTGGAAACAATGACGGTATGGAGCTCGACTGGCTGCAATTTTCTTCTCGCCGCTTGCACGCAAGAATCGGAGTTTGATCAACCGCACGAATTACTACTCCAAGCTGGACCTTGTAGCCTGGGATTCCATGGTTGCTGTGAATGCCTTTGTGGGGCATCTGGAAGCGAGGTGTGCAATTCCTCGAAATATATCCATTATATTTTTTACTCTTGGCT